TATCACGGGTTAATGGAGTGCAATGAGAGTGTCACAAAGAACTCTATCCAAAAAGATGCCACTAAATGTCATCTGCCACCAAACTCGGAGTCAGTGCGTGGTTAAATTTAGGTGGGTGAAAGCTTCATGTGAGCGATTCCCCGTGGCTACGTCGTGATCCACACGCTGCCTCAAAGTGATGCTTTTTTTTGGTTGATTTTCCAACTTCTTGCAACAGCTGTGAGGGCGATAATTCCAGCGTTACACGGGCACTGTGAGGAAATTAATTTCTCCACAGCCTATAAAAAGAATGAAAAATCACCTCTCTGTTTCAGTTACTTATCTTAAGGCGATACTGTACCAGCTGGAGTCTAATGAGCACGGTCACGCTGTAATTTTGGAAGTTCACACTGACCATTCACAGCCCAGCTTTTTGTACAAATTAAATTTGAATTCCCTCTTTTTTCTCCTTCAGTTTGTGTTTATAAGACACACAACATTTCAGGCTGCACTGACAATCATTCGGTCAGTGGGGCTCTTTTAAATTAACGCTTCTCACAGTTTCTTGTAGACAGACTCACAACAATGAGAGACCCACAGCAATATCTGTTAAACATGAAACAAACTTGTTGCTCTTACATTGTCATCTCTGACTCCAGTGAAGCGTAATCTGCCTTTTGTGGAGACTCTGTTTGTGTGATTCCTTCACTGTGCTGCGGTGACTGATGGATGCTTGTACACAGACTAAGAAAGAGCGAGGGAGACCTCTCAGTTGAGATGGGAACAGGGAAAAAGCATCTTGGACAAAGGTCTTAATCTCTTTGGAAATTAGACAGTTATTATGTATGTTGCAGGCCAACGAGGCCTACTTTGACTTTGCTGTGTGGGCGTGTTGTGTTGCTGTCTTCCCAGCCTTAGGTGCCACCCATTTTCCTGTATAACCAGGAAATGTCTTAGTAATTAACCCTGAGAGTGCTTAATCTATGTGTTTATTCTTGCTTGAGGGAGAGTGTGCGTTAATTCTCATCATTGTTTCCCAGTTTTATTTCAGCATTTTTGCTCTGGTTTTGTTTTTGTTGAAAACAGGTGCTCGGCTGTCCCTTTAAGCTAAATTATCAATTAAACCCTTTTTTAACTCCCTGCCTCCTTTTCCTCGTATACGTTTATTGTTCCTTCTCCACATCTGAAGTGTGGACTCTCTGGAGAGCGTAACAAATGAACACTCATCTGGGATTCAGACCCAGGACTTCTTAAACGTGTTATTTTTGCTTAGATTTCTTAGTTTTTGCTTAGTTTTCTAGTAAGCTAAACAATTCACAAGGACTACCAAAGTAATGCATAGTCATAAACATGTGCATAGCTATCTGTTATCGCAACTGCACACATTTAAACGTGTGCTGGCTTGCAAGTGACACGTCAGTCTTGTTAGGTCCAACATTTAAAGATTTCTGTTTCTGCTGTTTTACAGAAATTGACCAGGGTACTCAATCAGACATGCAGCAAACATAGAACAGAGGAACAGAGATGTTTCTGGATTAATGGAGAGGAGTGCATGTTTGAAAGCAGCTTTAGACAAAAGATGTGACATTTACTGATGTAAGTGGCTCTCTTCTCTTCTCACGGAGGGGGGGTATGTGTGTTAGATCTTTGGGTGCAGCATTTGTAACTCTTTAATCTCAAATACCCACTTACTCTCTATTTGGATATGCAATTTCATTGTGGAAATCACCATTGAATCATGTAGTTGAAAGCTCCATTAAAAATGCTGGTAGGTGAATGTATGAGCTCAGATTTTGTTGTTACGCTTCAATTCTCTTCTTTTTTTCGTCTTCACTGTCTTTTGCATGTGCCCCTGCTGCTTATGTAAAATCATGATTTTCACATCAATTGGCACAGAGCAGGGCGAATCTGTTATTGTTTGCTTGCATGCATCTTCAAAGCCACAGATTTCCACTCTTAGTTGGATGTGAAAGCACAGTCACGGCTCTGTGTTCAAGCTGGAGCCCAATGTCCCCTCTAAGCTCTAAGCGCTGAATGTTCACAGACTTCAACTGACGTCACCGCTGCTGTCGTGCCACGATCGGTGATGAAACACCAGTTTGCCAGGCTTGAGATTCAATTCGTCACGTTAATTTATTAGGAATTTGACATTCAAAAGCAGATCTTTTTCACTTGAAGGTTTCTGCAAAGTATTCCAATCAGTACTCATGCTTTTAGACTGTGATTAAAAGAAAAATAACAGGCAAACTTGATGCATAAGAGCACTGGATCAGACTGTGCTAACAGGACTACACCATGCACTCAAAAGGTTTACTTTACTTTATTGTTTACTTCCCATATTCCTCCGTTTTCTGGCTCTTACCCAGGTCGAGGTTGCAGGGGCATGCTCTAACCACCTCGCCTACGAGGCGTCAAGGAGGCATCCTGGTCAGAACCCTGCACCACCTCAACAGGTGGATGACAAGCTCCTAACCCAGACACCCTTTTGAGGAACCTCATTTCTGTTGATCGTATCAGCGATCAACAGAAATGAGCTGTCACTTCCCACAGCTCATGGCCATAACACAGGAATGTAGATCGACCAGTAAATCTGCCTGCCTTCATGCTTACTTCTCTCTTTACCACAGACTGGTGCAGCATCCCCATCACTCCAATTCATCCATCAATCTGTGGCTCCACTCTCCACCCACTCATGAATAAGAACCGAGAAACTTGAACTTCTCCACCTGAGACCCCAAATGATTCCCAAACCAAGAGTGGGCCCTCCACAGTTTCAAGAACCATAGCCTCAAACTTTTCATCCCAGCCATTTAACACTTAGCTGCAAACCACCACCATGAAAGCTGGAGGTTTTCACTCAATGAGGCCAACAGGATCTGCAAAAAGCAGAGACGATGATCCTGAGACCACAGACATGCCACCCCCCATCTCTTGGATTCACCTAGAAATTCCTTTCATAAAAGCAATGAACAGAATCGGTAACTAAGGGCAGCAGTAGCGGTTTCTCCCAGAACAAGTCTGACTCGTGTAAGCTGCTGTGTGATCTTATAGCTGTGTCTAAACACGTCAGATTTCTTCAGTGTAAATTTGTGTGGTCACTGGTTGATGACTCGGTTCACGTAAATAAAACCACACGCATGCATGCTGCAGGCTGTTTTACTGAACCAGATAATCCCGTTCGGTGCGAGGCTCATTCAAACCACCATTATGAAACACCTCTCAGTTCTAAAAACAGCAATATCATAAGATTAGTAACACATGTTTTTATTTAACATCAAAACTTCCTCTGTGTGGACTCACACAGTCATCACTGTACAGCGCTAGAGTGCTGTGGGCTATGCATTCTCTCAAGCAGACTAAATGGAAAGGGTATATAAAGGGACAAAAAATTCAATCAGAAAGACCTCGACTACATACTGGTTTCACAGTGGGACGGCGCCGTCCTCTCACACGTGCATGTATCAAAGCCTGTGAGCGCGTAAAGGGAGAGCACTGGAAACAGGCCTCTCAGCCACCGTTACAGCAATCCCTCATTCTGACTGAAACATGTTTACACAGAGTTAACAATGCGAAAGATCGAAACGTCAAACAAAGAGTTTCCATAAAATGTTGTGTAATAATGAACACCTGTCAACTGTGGCTTTCATTTCCACAACATATTAAAATGTGAGGTGCAATTGGATTTTCTTCCACTGCATGATTTAAAAATAGGTATGTATTTCAGAGGAATGACTGCTTTCAGCAGAGGCAAAACTATCACATCTTCCTAAAGATGAATATATCTGAGTTTTGCACTTAATGATAAAGAAATTCACATCAGCCAAAGCCTATTATTCAAGACATTTAAATGTGTATGGATTAAAAACAAACCGTCCCCTTTCTGTCCTAAGCTCCACTAAACAGGCAAGGGTATATTCATGCAACTAATTACATTTAAATGTATTTACATAGTGCCAGTTCACAACAACAGGAGTCATTTGTAAGGTAAAGACCCCACGTGCACACAGGCTGTGACTGTAGGCAGCTGCAAACATCCTACAGTGGAGGCTGCAGGACGACAGGACTGTAAGTTGGATGGGTGAGATGCTCAATAATAAATAAATAGACATGTTTTTAGCTATTTATTTACTTATTTGTAAATCTCCAGCAAAAAAAGGGAAAGTATCCATTTGAATGTCAATAACTGGTGATTTTCCACAGATGGGAGGTGGGGGAAATACATACTGTGGAAAAAAGGTCTGAACTATTAATTATGGTCAATGCCACGAATCCTAGCTTAAGTTACAACATCCTGACAAACTGTAGGGTTTTTTTTTTTAGTTTGTTTGGGGGGGTTTGTCCTGAGGAGCCAAAACCCCTGTAGCTTTAAACTGAGTTATCAATGTCCACCATTTATGAGCTACTTTACACTCATAAAAGTGTTGATTGTACCAAACAAATGTATAATAAATACTCTGTGTGTGCACAGGGTTGCAGGAGTTGGGGCTTTAAGCTGTGTGCAATTCAATAGGGCAGAGTAGGAAAAATATAAAGGAAAAACATTTCCTGCACACACGGGGCTCGTAATTTGTGGCTCCGCTCCTGAACACACTCAGTAAAATCTGATAAAGACATTTTATATGTTCCTTTACAACATACTGAAACCTTATTCAGATTTTCCCCCCAGAGACACCAAAACATGTTCCCTACTGCAGCTTTAAATCCAGCTTTATTGTGATACACACGATTTCAAACCAACTTTGCAGTCTTACAAGTGTCTACCAGAATAAGCAAACACATCATGCGCTACAATGTGTGTACATATGCTGCAATTGGGCTTAAATACCCGTGAGCTGTGTACATTGCAATAGGGTGGAGTTGGGAGGGGAGGTAGTGGGGCTGGGGGGTATTTCTTGCACACATGGGGCTCATAATTTCTGGCTACGCTCCTGCACATGCTGATAAAGACATTTTATATGGTGACTTATTGTTACACGACTAACGTCTTTTATTCCTCGTATTAAAAAAAAGAAAAAACTTACTCATTAGGCCCTTTATTGCTTTGGCCTCGCGTAGGCTACTTCTCTCACCAATGCGGCGCACGTGCACGAGCGGTGTGCGCAGACCGGGAGCGCGCGCGGAGGCGGTCCGGGGCTTCCTCAGTTTTCTGTAATCGCTTTTCTGCTGCTGCTACCTCCAGTTAAATAGCAAGGACACGGGAGCGAGCAGGCGGCCGTGAGAGGATATACTTTTTTCGGTACCTTGGGATTACGACGCGGAATTGCAGCATCGACGGCCAGCTGTCAGGTAAGGTCGACACACGCGTTCAGCCGCCGTAGATCCGCGAAAAGTAACTAAATGTCCCGTAAAAAGTGTCGTTTTCCAGTGAAGAAGAAGGGAGGAGGAGGAGGAAAAGAAGGGGGTGGTGGTGGATGTGTGGGACGAGCCTCCCTTTGTGCCGAGGCAGGGTCACTGCTCTTCACCGCACAATGTGGACACTCCAGAAACGGCGAGGAGCCACACGTTTACCCCCCGCACCGCCACCGCACACCGCTCCGCTGGCACTGCCGCCGCTCACCGTCCTCCATCAGCCTCGCCGTCGGACGAGTCCGGCATTAACGCCTTCTCCTATGCGCATTTTCATTGAGTTTAAAACACCGAGGCCTGCTTCTGCTTCTTTTTTTCCCTTTAAATACCCCCCTCAGCGGTAATATAGCGCACCCTTCTCCTCCTCCCCCCGGCCTTTTAACGTTAGCTAGCTCCCAATTATGTTTATGGTCGCTTTTGTTTTAGCCGGCCCCTTTTGTGTGCTTCACCCCCACAAATGTTGACCTCCTTGCTCTGACAAAGCAATGAAGTGATGTCTTATGCCACACACACCTCTTAACTTGTGTCCGTTGTTATTTTTGAGGGGATATACGGACCCTGGCATCTCGAAACCGGGTACGTTTCAGCCGTTGGTGTCCTTACCGTCACCGTGAAACGCCCCCCCCCCTAGAAAGACGACCTATCCCCCGCTTCAGTTGATCGCTTTTAATCATTTCGTGCCTATCAGAGAGCTTAAATCGATCAGTTTTGCTTTTAAAAAATAAGTTCATGGTATTTATTCAAGCCCAGGGGCGTTTCCAGGATTTAGAAAAACAAAACAAAAAACAGGTAGCATATTGGGGGGGGGCAGAAGAAATCTGAATCAGAAACAAATACAGTGTGGAAAAATGTTGAAAAAAACATGTTGGGTACCAATTTCAGGCTCATGGTGTGACATGAAAAATGGTGCTTAACCCCAGCTTGGGATTTATTTTAATTTTTTTTGTAAAGTGGCAACACAGTCAAAGGGTAGCAACTAACAGCAACCAGACACTGCTGACAATCAGCTGCATTCAGTAACTTCAAGAGGACAGATGCAACTGTGAGGCTTGAGATTGACATTTGAATGTGGTAAATGCATTAGAGGATTACCTTGCTACAAAGCATTTTGCCAAATTGCAGTATTTGCTCGTTGTCTGTTGCTTTGTCATTGATGGTTTGTTGCTGTTGGACATTCCCATCTCTGGTCAGTCACCTCTACCTTAGAATGTCCACTTCGCACCACCCCGTCTAAATCACTGGATATGGTTTTCATTTGCCATGTTGCTGGCAGTTATGTTCTTCTTCTTTTTTCCCTTTCTTTTTTGGGCACCCCCTGGTGCATGCCTGCCAATTTCATAACTTTTAATGCAACATAATTACATGAAAAAGTAAGGGCTTGAATAGAGGTGGATATAGAATAGAAAATTAGCTTCACTGTGCACTGTGAAAACCCATCTGCTGGTATTCTCCTGACATCACTGATGATCAGAAATGGAGGGAAAGTTTACTGAGATCATTTGAAGGCAGCTAGCTCGGACTCTTTCTTTGATGCTTTTTAGATGAAGAAAAGAAAAGAAGCATAGGGCCTCTGCAGGACTTCATGTTACTGTAATTTGACTCGCGCTATCGGCCTTACTCCTTATCCTTTTGACTCCTTGGGGTGAACACTCATGGGTTTTTAACGCAAATGTATTCATGCAAGTAATGCAAAACTTACATCACTAGCTTTACTGCGTGTAACTTTTAACATGAATTTAATCTAAAAGGTCATTATTATCAGTTTAGGTTTTTTTTAAATGGTTTAAAACCTCCCAAGGTGAGCTCAAGTTATCAGCTGAATCATCTGATGTTCGGCAAGCACTGGGCAGCACTTTCATGAAATACCAGCTATTGCCACTAGATGAAGCATTGTAGGAAATTCTTAATTATAAAGATTTCCTGGCAAAAGCACAGGCAAGTTTCTTGAGGAAATGGAGACTAGAGGTACAAAGAATTGCCAAAAGTAAAAAGAACAAAACATTTTAAGTTGCCCAGAGGTAAAATGATGCCCCCTGGTGGTAAGGTTTTAGATAACTTACAAAACGTAACATAGCATAGGAGAAGTAGATTTATTTGTTTATAATCTGCAAAAGAATATGTAAATAGTTTTCAGTCGGGGCTGAAGCCACCCCACAGCCCCCACTCTGGACACACCCCTGTTCCTGCGTTGTCTTTGTCGTTTGTAAACAAATGAGCAACAGAACCAGGGTAGTGTATTGATATTTATATTTTTCATCCACAAAGAGCTTTCTGTGTCTCAAACTACTACCACATTATCCAGTAAAGAAGAGGAGAGAGTATGACACAGAGCAGTGACAGGACCTCTAGTTTGTTTTAGAAATCTAGGCCAGTGGAGTCTACCTAATGACTGCTCTGTCTGTAACCCCTAGCAGATGATTGGGTGAATGTCTCATTATATTCTTAACAGGGGCCTTATACATGTGTAATCTGCTGCACTGTAAGCTTTGACAAATGTCTTTTCATCAGCTTTCACTCTGCACAATTTTAACCCTCGCCCACACCCAGCTTTTGATTTAGATTAAGTACATTTTGCTGTCCCCAAGTCTACCCAACTATCAGACATTGTGGAAACTTGCAACCTATTAATATTTGCATGTTCATTTATTGCTTTAGGGCCCACGATGTCCAGCGAAGTGCAGAGACCAGACGACAGCCCCAGCACAAGCGGGGGAAGCTCGGATATTGAGCAACGGGAATCGGTACCTGCTGAACAGGAGCGAGAGCAAGCACAGCCCAAAAAGAAGGAGACTAAGATCTCGAGTAAAACCGCTGCTAAACTTTCAACTAGTGCCAAGAGGTAAGAAAAGAAGAGAGGGCTTGAATCTGGCTTTGAGAGCCGAGCGTTTACACAGGAGTTGTTTGTTAAACTGAAGGCCTCTCCCCCTTCTTGTGCCCCAGGGGTGTGAAGTAATATAAAAAGACCGCAGTCCCACAGGCATTGTCATTTCAAACATCCACGCGATTCAGTGTGCCGCTTAACCCACAGAAAGGAAGAAACTCACACAGCTCTGCACTGAGGTGTCACTGCTGTCATTTATAAAGAGAGATTCTCGTTCCAGCCTGTTTGTTCGACTGGATGCGCCTCGTGCTCCACAGCCTACACCACCACCAACACTTACCTCCAACCAGTCTTCGCACTTATTCCCAAAAAAGACAGCCGATGAGAGAATTATGCAACCACTTGGCTTAGGCCACTGAGTCTTTTTATAACAGAGACTGACATTATGAACATCTCTGGGGGGGGTTTGTAAGCAGAAAAAGCCAAAACATGGGCGGACTTCAGCGTTGTTTTTGTGCAGCAGTGCCTGAATCCCAATTTTCTGGTTATCTGTAGCAAATGATCAAAGCTGTCTAATTTATCCTCGTGCTTAATAAACAGATAATAGGAGTACTTAATCTGGTTATATTTGCGATCTAACACTTGAAATCTGCACTGTTATAAACTGTTAGTAGTTTTACTTTTACCCAAGCAAGCATGACTGATTTGTATATATTTAAGGCAACTATCAACAATTGTCCAAAACTGCAACTTCTGCTCACTTCTCAGTTTCTTTTTTTCTTGGTGGTGTGGCTGATGTGGAAGCTGCTGGCCAATAATTGACTTGTTTTAAACAGGAGGGTGGAAAGAAATCACACCAACGGACTAGTCTAAAAGTAAGAAAACATTTGGCAATCAAAGCTGAGCACAAGCTAATGGACAAAATTACATGCTCTCCATAGACGTATTGCATTTTTATTATGAGCTATTTGAAACAGTTAATTGTATTCTTAAGAAACCAAATCATATTTTTAATATCACTAAAATGTGTGGCACAAATTAGTAATTCTTTCCTCGCGCGGATGTGCCGAATAAGGCTGCACTTGGCAGTAACCAGTAGTATCACTGCAGGAGCGGAAGGAGAGGAGGTTAATGTGCACCTACTATTGTAGTACTGTCCACCCTCCATAATGCACGTGTGGCCCAAGTGGGTGGATGCTGGAAGTTAGACTATTTCTAACTTCCAGCATGAAGAGACTTTTACATGCCGACATACAATTATGGCGGAAAAGAAAAGTGGGTGGATATTAGGTGAAAGTGAAAAGGTGGAATTACATCATGACATATTTTGGCTCTTTGCTTCCTTACCTTCTTCACAGTTCTACTAACTCCTTCAGCCTGTTTTTAGATGTTTAAAATGTTGCACCTGCCTGTCCTCCACTCTTCATCATGCCAAACAACACACAGCAGCTTTCCACTGAAGCAAGCTTCTCTCCAAGTACAATCTTATTACTCTGCAACTCAAAAATCAATCAAACTGTCAGAAATATCCTTCTGTTTTCTCCCATGATGCTGATAAATCAGTGTAACCGCTTCCCACACACACACAAGCATGAGCTTGTCATGTCAATGTTGGTTGTTTGTGGAGCTTCTGAATGAAACTATAGTGAAGCATGTTCAGTTTAGTATGACTCTCATGAAAATGATCATATTAAAGCATCAATAATTATATCATCATCAGTGTGGAGAACTGTATTGCAAAGCCACACTGTTATTACACATATTACATGTCAGCAGGTTAAATGTCAGGGCTGACATACAGCCAGTCATTGTCTATATGAACCTATTGCAGAACTTTCCACCTAACTTGAGGGGAAGTTCACATCTTCCCCTGACAGGGAGGGTGAGGAGCACCGCAGCCCCGATTAGTGGTGGGCACGATTGTAAAATCACAGAAAACTGTTCCCTGGTGTTGGCATTTAATAAAATAAAGACAATTAATATAAACAGTTAGTATTTTAGGTGCAGACTATCGAGGGCAGCAATGTCTAATTGCGTAGTCGACCACAGGCGTGGACACTTGATTATGATTTAAGCAGACTCGACATCAGTACTGTAGTATCATATTGAGTTTTTAGAATCTCATTTATAAGCCATTTAATAGGAAAAAAAAGGTGTTTTCTAGTTGAGTAAACAGAATCCTAATTACAAGAAAAACTTTCTTTTAGGGGAAAGGCCAGAACCTCTTTGGAGGTCGTCTGCATCTCTTTTTCCGTTAGAGATTTGGGTTAAAGGCAACCACACCTCTTTGAAAGCTTTTGTATCACTGAATAAATGCACCAAGGAAATCTCCACTCTTTCAGATGAATTTTAATTTGCAAATCTTTCTTTTGCAGGATTCAAAAAGAGCTTGCGGAAATAACACTAGACCCACCTCCCAACTGCAGGTAAGGAGATGTTACACATTCGGAGCATTGCTGTAATGACTCATAACCCTGAGTGTAGATGGTAAAGCTGATATGGGCAGCAGCAGCAATGTGCTGTTTTCATGGCTTTTCTCTGGGAAAAAAAAAAAAGGAGATGTAATGCAGTTGTGTTTTTGTAACTCACCGCATACTGCTGCTGTTTGTTTGTATTTTTTGTTTGGTGTATTCGAGTGACTTAAGGCCACTGTGGAGTTGTTGTTGCTGCTGCTGC